TAAGTACATCTAAGAATAAAGTCAATAATATCACTTCTGCAGGAAAAGTTTGCAAGGAAAAAAGAAAAACTGTAGGTTATATTGTTGGCAGTGATGGTTTCATAAATGATAGAAAGCGGTTATTTCAGCGAGGTAAATGTCATCTGTATTTCTGCATAATCTCCATGGCTCAGCTTTCCCGATCACAATGATAAAATTAGAATACACACAAGATAAAAATACTTGAAAAGATAACACAGGAGTTGAGTTGCTGCTGACAGACTGTACTCGGTCAGCTTTGCATAAGCTTTATGTACACTTCATTACAGAGCATAGAAACTTCAAACTGCCATTTTATGGATGACAGTGACAGTAAAACACCTCAAATTCATAGTAAATAATACATGAACAATATTACTAAGCACCAAGACTTCTATGCATGGCTGTGAGTGTTGATGTTGATGTTTATCACTACTCTTGCACACACTTTGAAACTCACATGGAGATGCTTTTGTAAGGACTTTGTTTAGTATGAATGGTGCAGGATTCTCTGCACACCCCCTGTTTCTGGACTGCCTAACCTTTGGCATGACCTTTAGAAGACAATTTGCAGCAGCAATCGCCCTGCGCCTCGCTCCACATTATTTTCCCTCATTATTTTTTCAATGTTACCTTTGCAGTGTGTGGCAGAAAAGGGCTGGCTTCAACAGAAGGGTCAGGGTTCAGGAGGAGGAGGGTAAAGATACAGGTCAGATTGGCTCTACAGTTGTGTTCAGCCAGTGTCCTCAGAGAATTCCGCGCCACGAAGCCATTTGAACTCTGAACCCTCCAGCTGTCTGTCAAAAGCTGACCCTCGGTGTTGACTGTTGTCTGGTTTGGCGATTAGGAAAGCACCGCAGCCAGCAGTAATGGAGGACGGCGGCCTCAGAGTTTTTAATGTCGGGCAACAAAACACTGAACATGTGCAGGGATAATATATCCTCTCTAGCCCTCCAGGCTTCAATCTAGCCCACTAGATGACTAGACTAAGAGGTGCTAAATTTCAGGAGCAAGTTAAACAATGCTGACTTCATGTAAAACTCTGCTTCGGAGTTCAGAGAACAATTCTCTGATATAACAATGAATATTTACTGTGACTATGTTTAAAGGGACATTGTGTAGCGTTTTCAGTTGTTTTTTTGGCAAAAATCGATGTCTGCATTCATAAATTTGTCATCATTGGTGTATTATTACCTCCACCAATAATCTGACTTATTCACATAAAAGGAGAATTTTGGATTTGTTTGTACATTGGGCGGGTAAGTCATTTGGGGGGTTCCATAATGTTCGGTTCCGCCATCTTGAAAATACATCCGCCAGCAAGGGACATACAGCCCTGCCTTCGGCGTTTTCGTTGAGAGCCAGGCCAACGCTGCGTGACTGAGAAGCCGAAGGAGAGGAGCAAGAGGCGCTTCGCTACTACCCCGACACTACTGCAGCATAACAAAGTTCCACTCTTTGAGCATCATGCAGGATCATGCATATGCAGCATCATGGGAGACGGAATCCTTGTTGCCAAGAAAGCACAAAAGGGAATAGAAAAGGCAACGTGACCGGCGAATTCAAAAAATGAGGGTCAACATCGGGGTAGCCTTTCCCAGGTGGAGAGAGCTGCTGAAGAAGAAATGTAATGCAATCACAGGCATTACCTTTGCGAGGAGAGGGATGAGGTGTGTGAGGTTGAGCCACTTGTCAGTTGTCAAAAGACAAGACGTGATTGGTTTGTTTCAATTTACATCTGCCGCAACAGTCCGACGTTGTAAACACAGCCAGCATGGTGAGGAGGGGGTTTGTCAACTCGTGTCGCATGTGTCTGTGTAGGAGCCTGAATGAATACTCCATGAAGTATTGGATGACAAGGTTTCATCAATGTTTTGGTACACAGTGGCTACCGTTGTATGCAGTATGCATTTGAAAAAACGAGGCGCTAGAGCGCGCTATCCGTTTGAATGCAATAGCCTATATGATTTCAGCGTTAGATGGGAGAAATTCCTACACATTGTGGCTTTAAAGATATTGAACATTGTGCAAAAAATTGTCAAACAGCAGCTTGAGTTCAAAGGAGTCTGTATCAAGAAATGTATAGACAAATGCAAATGTAATGACAGTGACAAGTAGACTGACTGAATGTGGAAAAACTGAGACATACTGTATTGTTGAAATTGCATTTATTTTTCTTAAGACATCTCAGGCTAAAGGATGAACATCTACAGAATGGAATTCTTTACACAAAAAAGTCAAAATATTGGAGCTGATCTTACTTATAGGTTACTGTGCGATAATGTCCAGTGGTCCAGTCCACCTGAAATCAAATTCGGCTGTATGTGGCTAATTAAGTAAAATGACTTTGACACCCCTGCTCTATACTGTGTTAAAATCCTGAATCACCATCTCAGTGTAAAAACAAAAGACGATGGGCTTTATGGCTCTATTAATTCATGTTTGTCTACTAAAACAATTAATTTTGTTGCGTGATTTAGATTTTAGCTGCACGCAATGTTAAGTGGTCAACCATGTGGTTTTGGATCAAATGTCTAGAAAACTAATGGATGGATTGCTATAAAATCTGGTACAGACAGTACGTTCCCCTCTTGGTGACCCTTAAACTTCCCAAGTCTTTGGTTTATGACTTGATATGAGAGGTAGGACCAAGTCAATGTTTTGCAAGTCACAAGTGAATCTAAAGTCTTTGCATTCGAGTCCTAAGTCAAGACAGGCAAGTCCCGAGTCTTAAACTTTGACTTTTGAGTCAAGATGTGCTCTTTGCCAAAGGTAATGCCATTTCAACAGATTAATAATATATTACATTTACAAAAATCATTGATGCTTTTTAAAATTTGTATTTATTTGTTAAAACAAGTTTGGTAAAATGTTGCTTAGCTGTCAAGCTAACATTATGTTAATATTAGCCTTGACTTACCATTTTTTGTGCAACTTCAATTGCCATACAAAGCTGCAAGTTGTTGCGTTTCTATTTGTAATTTTTGACCTGCACATTTTGTTCATCGCTATGTAGTTGTTGTATAGTTCTTCATGGTTTTCTGCTGCAAAGTGACAGGATGCTGTATGATTTGTTCAAACAAAGTGGATCTGAGGAGTGTCGACTTGCTGGGAATGCATAATGTTAACTTCAGCTGATTCAGGAAGTGCACTGATTCGTGGCACAAAATTAACATCCATTTTAATCTTTGTCTTTGGGGGAAGCTATCAAGTGTTTTCAAGTCAAGAGGCTCAAGTCCAAATGAAGTGATAAGTCACTGGTGTTGAAGTCCAAGTGGAGCGGCAAGTCTTTTTTGACAAGTCTAAAGTCATCAAATTTGTGACTTGAGTCTGACTTCTGTCCAAGTCATGTGACTGGAGTCCACACCTCTGCAAAATACTTTTTAAAGTAAAGGCATTCCCATCAGACTCATGCTAAAATGCTTAACTAAAATGGTGAACATAAGCCTAGTAAATGTATACCTGATAATCATCATGTTAGTATTGTCATTGCAAGCATGTTAGCATTGCGACATTCTGAAGTATAGCGTCATGTGGCTGTAGAGTCTTGTTGATTTTAAAGTCATGACCTCAAAAGTAATTTTAAGGCATTTTATTGTTCAATTGTAGAAATATTGACTTATAAAATCACAGATGCAAAACATGTAAACATTATGAAAGGTTTAGAAAGTATATCAAAGCTCTGTATAGTCCCTGACTCCCAAACTTTGGGTTGTATCAAGCAGTTATTGATTTTAATGAACTAAATCCAAGAAACATGAAGATTAACTTTTTTTGACATTTTAAGATGTAATTACTTTGCTTGGTTAATTAAAATATTTCATGTCACACAAAGACAAGTCTGCTAACTCATAACCCTGCAGCTGCAGCATAAAATAAGGCAGAAAACTTTTTTTTTTAAACCGAAAATGACTCATTAACTCATATTGTGTTGATTTTCCATCCTTGACCACTCAGCCACAGCATGTCGATTGCTTTCATTTTGCTTCCATTAAAATGAAAACCACAGGTTAAATCAACAAGTATATCAGCTCAGGAAAATAAAGCATTTTTGTGTTATTTCCACTTTCAATAACTATTGAACTTATTTTTTAAACAAGGGGGAACATGCTGAAACAATTCAAATGTTCCAAAATGAAGCGCTGGTACATGCTGTGCCAGGAGTTAATTCTCATTTCCCCCAGGTGAAGAAAAACAGATATGCACTCCAGCCATGGAGAGGGTGGGTGAAGATTTAGATGTGGGCTTCTATTCAAATATGAAGGTCTCCTTGACATTTTCTTCTCTGCGTTGGCTGCTCATCCTTGTCGCAGTTTCCCCGAGCTGCATATGGGACAGCGCGACCTGTTGACATTTACAAACTCATCTGGCTGAGAGCGATGGCATTCTATAAGGAGAAACACCTCCACATGTCCCACCACTGTTTCCGCTGCTCAGAGTGTTTCACATGAACATGTTATTGCTTTAAAGCAAACAGAAGTCAACCTTTGCAGGGAGAGAGCCGTGGTGTCTCACTCTTCCCTTTAAAGTCTGTAATTACAGTATCTTCTGAAAGCTTGGAAACTCCTGCAGCAGAAGCACTGGGCAGCTGGCAGGCCTCATAAACTGGACTAAATACTGATGAGGTCTCATCGCCACATTGTCTGGACTGCCACAGCTGAGGGAGCCCACTGCACAAATGTGACCAGGTTAAAGTCTGCCCCCACCATACCCATAAAGCTCTGGATAGCAGCCAAGAAGAGTGTGGCACATAACTCACCAGCAGCTGGGTTAAAGCAGGACAAGGTGAAATGAGGTGACATAACAGCCCATATAGTAACAGCAAAGCATGACAAAACTGTAAACAGACCGTGGAGCGTGGTAATGTAAATATGTAAATGTAATATGCTGTAACAATATAAATAAAAATATGACCCAAGATCTAGGACATGAATAGTAAAGCACCCAAAAATAGAATCGCAATGAATGAATGAAACATGATCTTTTCTCTGTATGGAGGAGAAAAGACTCCTTCACTTTATTCATGAACATTGAAAATGAGAAGCAAGAGATAATGTTTCAAAAAGCAAACAGGATGCAATGAGGAAAACTTAAATATGAATCATTGTGCGGCTTTAGCCTCTGCATCCCGAAGGTTCCCGGAGGAAGTTAAAACTTGGGCTGTGCGGATCAGCTCATCTTTGTGCTTTTGGTCCAGCAGATATGATCTTTAGAAATCGGGGCCGTGCTTCTTCAGCTTGCTGTAGTCCAAGTTGACGGCGTAAAACTGAGAAAACAAAACAAATCTCAGCTCAAGAACAAACACAGACATTTTACACACACACACATGCCTTGATAGCAAAAAGTGATTTCCCTCCATGTTACAGAATTATTCATTTTCAAAAGCCGACTTATGATTAAGTAAAATGCTTGTTTATGAATACTTCGGTCTCCTAGTTGTCTCCTGGTTACTACTACTGCTTATTTAGACCAAGTGTGAGCAGTTAATGACTTCACCAGATTTATTACTACAAGCCAGTGTTAACCAGTTTATGTAATTTAATTAATCCAACTAAAGGAATAATCCACGGCTTGGGCACAAGTCTGGCAGAGAGCCATACTATGATCCCTGATTATAACCCCCTACACTCTCCAGCACAAACAATCAAGACTGTAACACGGCATGATGAGTAATATTTCCTGAGAGATGACAGAGGCACACCTTGTACTGATCATTTGGGCCCAGCTTGTTCCAGGGCTCTGGGTTGTTCTTGCGATCCCAGCTGCAGAGGAGGAATCAGGTACACAGTTACATTAGCTGTCACTTATCTCATCTGCAAACGTCCTTATTTTCTAAATGTGGGAAAAGAACAAAACATTTTAAAAAGGTAGTGTCTGTGTCTTGAGTTGAGTTCTCACCAAACATCAGGGTTTCTCAAGGCCAGACGAGCAAGATACATCATGGACATGGCTGCCCCTCCGCCAATGAAGAAGAAAAGGGGGATCAGCTGTGTGTGACAGACGACAAACTTTCACCAACTTAAAGAGGAGCAGTGACAGCTCAAAGAGAAACTGAGTCAGTAATCACAGTTTCACTGCTGACAGCTTGTGTAAACACAAAACACTGCCCTGCATAAGTAGCCAGTGCAACATACCTTTAAACCTGATCCATACCAATAATTTAGGTTTGTTAACATTTAACGTCCACTCTCCTCTCTGTGCCTCAAAGTGTTTGCCCTTGTGGACTGCAGCTGTCATGTGTTGAAACAGGCTAGTTTACATATTTGCTATGTTTATCAGTTTCTTCCAGACACCACTTTTTGACCAAGTTCACGTACTCAAGCCGAGTTAACAAGTTGTGTGGACATACCTTGTCCTAACTAAAAGTTGTGGCAAGAATTATCATCTAGAAATGAATATTTGCTAACGTTAGCTAGCAAACTAACTCGCTAACTAGTAGCACTGGTTGCTATTTTGAGCACAGCGGACCCTCTCCGTGGCTACTATCAGTCGCTGTCGATGTGTGTGTGAAGCCGTGACCTGATTTGACTCCTAGACATCAACTAACCTAAGTCATAAAACTCACAGCTATTTGTCCATAACAGCTACATAATATAATTAACACCAGAACATCTTTTCATATTTAACAGAAGGTCTCAAAGTCAGTGCGGTCAAAGTCAGAGTACTAGCTTGCTAACGCTAACTAGGTTAGCTAAGCTAAGTTAGCAACACAAATTCCATATGACGATGGTGAAGTTTGAATAGGACCTTTAACATGAATCTAAACTAGATATAATCGGTTTGCACTTACAGCTGGGTGACTTCTGAGCTGCTTGCGGACTGTGGCGAGCATTTTGACGCTTTCTGAGGCCAATTCCGTCCAGAAATAAACGGATTACTAAGACTTGCCAAAACGGTGCGCAATATAATCACCGAGATCTGGCGGAAGAAAGGCTGTGGAAAACACAAATAGGGTGGCAGACAAAGTGCCTGACTGACAGCGGCGCAAAACACATGATTATTAATTATTAATTGTATCATGCAGAGCATTTATGTCTCACTGCATGTTGGAAATATCGAGTAATTTTGAAGGGTTTCATTAAAATGCTGCTGTGTCGCACCAGTGTTTATTTTCACACTGAATTTTATTCTGGCAAAACTAAAGTGGTTGAAATGTTGCTGCAACCACCAGATTTCAACCCAAAAACAAAATCAACGTATGCACATATAGTGAACACTGATATTCTTACAGTAAATGAGCTTAAATCAGACCATAAATGAGCTGTAATTCTGAACATGATGCATGATTTCATATTTTTTATTTAGCTACAAAGTGTTAGTTTTTTTCTATCATACACAACGACTATTACACAATCTGACACACATAAGGGCCCCCCCCCACACACGCACACAAACAACACTATATTTATACACACACACACACACACACACACACACACACACACACACACACACACACCACACAAACAACACTTTGGGGTATCATTTAACAAGCAACAAAGACATTAAAGAAAAAAGTTGAAGGCTTGACAAATGTCTATTTTCATTACTCGTAATGTTTCAATACAGTGTCTGATTTCTATTTACAGTTGTATGTGCATTGTTATTGTCTTTTTGCATTTGTGAACATAAGATTTTCCATATAAAATAAAGAGGTTCAAAATAAACTGGTTATTTTTGCAATAAATATCATTCTCATAAAAATATGTCTCTTTTTTTCCAAATAAATAATTAAACCAGTCAACATCTTAAAGAAATACTATCCAAAATCATTTTATATGTGGGCATTCATTAATAACAAAACACACATTTTCCATCAATACCATCTCTGAATCTTAACAGCACCTGGTTTACAGGATAAGTGTATGACTTTAAATGAGACTTTTTTTGATGACAAAATATTTCTTGTTAAAATTCCTGAAAGACTTCCATTTAATTTTTCCAAATCTAGAGCTCCAAGATAACCCTGGCAAAGTCTCCTGAGATGACTATTCTCATAAACTCATAAGGTGACATCTAAACTGCAAGATCTGATCAGCATCACGTCACAATTTCACCAAATTGTAGTATTAACTCTACCTCTACAGTGTGACTCTCTTTAGATCATTAAAATGCCATTGTCAATGCCATTTCATGAAAAGTAAATAAGTCGATTTAATTAATCAATGTCAGAGACATGATTGAGATGTTTACCAGGTGAGGTGTCTGTATTACAGTGTGACAGCAGGGGGCGCTGTTTCCGAGGAAGTCGATTAGTTAAAATTCTCAGGTACAAGGAGCTGTCTCCTAAATTATAATCATTATTCCATCTGTTTTACATCCGTTTATTCTCATATCATTTTGCCTGATATTCAGGAGTTTGCTGTTGTTTTTATTCTGTTGATAACAGAGGTACTGATTCCCCGAAAGTGTGTTATTTGGGCAAATATTACCTCCATAAACCCATGTGTTTTTGGGCATATCCCTATTTAAGGGGGAACACCACCTTAAGAATTTCAGTGTTATTTCCATGGCCTGGGAAAGTTCAATCAATATTTGCGAGTATGAGCTAATCTCTCTCAAAGCCAGAAACCACGTAAGTCTCAAACTTTTGATATCATCAAATATAAAGTCTGGAGTTGCTCCATAGACAATGACTGGGAGGCTGAATTTGTGAATCTGCTGAATGTTTTTTCTTTTTTACACCCAAATGAGCTTTATTCTATCATAGCGTTCTCAGCTCTGAAGCAGAAAATGTACCCATATACTCTGAACATTCCCCTAGGAGTTCTCAGTGTCATCTTTAACACCTTTCACAATTCATTGTCTATGGAGCAGTTTCAGACTTTATACTCTATGACATCACAAATTTGAGTTTTAGCCCTCTAGCTTTGAATTTAGGAGAGTTGATCATGTTAACTAATATTTTTGGACTGCCTTAGAGCATAGTTCCCCTTAAAGCAGCCATTACATAAACATCTTTCTTAAAAGGAGATTTTAAAAAATAAATAAATAAAGCTGCATATTAGTTGCAGGTTTATTTTTTTTTTGCTCAAAAATACAAAACTTTGTCAATATCCGTAGTCAAATTGTCTTAAGAGTTGAAGAATTGCTCTGGTGTTTTACTTTAGTAACAACTGTAAAAAAAAAAAAAAAAAATTGTACTCATTATACATAAAGTACTCATTATGCAAAATTACTCATTTCAATAAGGAAGTATTATAACCATATAATGACTGATGCATTAATGGGTTCATGTGTGTTCACTTAATTGCTGCAGCTAGTAAAATTGGAGCTAATTTTAATTACTTTCTATACTGCCAGGAAGCTTCATCTGGTAAAAACAATCATCATAATTTATTCTTATCTCATTTTTATTTTATCTACAAAGTAACTAAGGTTTTAAATAAATGTATTGGAGTGAAAAAGTACAATATTTAGCAGTACCTCTGAAATCTCATTGAGTCTAAGTGTGAAGTAGCAGAAACTGAAAATACTCAAGTAAAGTACAAGTACCTTAAAACTGTGCAGTAGGGTACTTGAGTAAATGTGCTTTCCACCACCAAATAACTTAGTAGTACACTTTTTAATTGGTTGGCTAACAGATACATAAGTTGCTGGTGGTAATGATTTTGCTTGCAGCATCAATAAATATTTGCTGGTTACAGCCATTTCCAACAAGCAGCGCCCTGTCAGAGAGGAGCATTTCAACTGACTGATGTGAACTATTCAGGTAAAGTCTGTGTAATAAATAAAAAAGAAAATCACAGTGAAAATATCACAATGTCCCTTTTATGGCAAGTTATTTTCAACTTGTAGAAAATAAAAGTAAAAACAATTCAATAGTAAGACTGGACGTAACACAGGCTACATATAACCGTTTATGTTTTATAAATGACATGATACTTGGCTGATTGTTTGCCAAGAAATACACTTTGTGTGCGATAATTACACATATTCAAGCAACAGTTTGTACAGTTGTAAACCAAGCCTTTTTTGGTGGCAAGTTCATGAGATAAATGCTGGAAATGTATGTCTTAGGCCTTGTTTGGTTTCAGTGTCCATCCAAGGGAGGTGAGCTGGTCTGAGAAACAAAGATTTGTCTAAATACAACATTTTCCACCTGTGTCTTTCTGCCAGTCCGAGTGTGCTATCTTGTGGTTTAAAAAAAAAAAAAAAGAAAAAAAAATTAGTGCTCATCACAGTTCATTCAGGACTTGATCGTCTCTCCAATATATCAACAGTACACAACAGAAGCTGGACTCTCTTTTAAATACAGTTAAGTTAAAAATCTGACCACACTACAAATCATAGGCACATACAGTATGCCTGTACAGGACGTCCTATGAAAGTAAGATACTGGCTATAGAGTGTTTTTCCTCTGAAATCTTTCTCTCAAAAGCTCCAGATGTTTTAGTGTGTCGTCTTCTTGGGGGCTTTGCCAAATTTAGCATCCAGTCCGAGACCTAAGGAGAGAAAACCAAAGATGTGATTAAGGAGCAAAGGACAGCCTCAGCAGCTAAACAGAAATGATTTTACACTCTGGATTTCACCAATGCAAACATTTCACAAAAACTTGAGCATTCCAGCTTCCTCCCAAAATACTGTATGTCAGTGTTATATTTACTGATTCCCCTTCAGCTATACTCTCAATGCATAATTTACCACTCAACCAAATGGTTTGCGTAGGAAGCCTAAGTATTCCCCAGTTGGACCTAATTGTTTGTTACAACAAACACATACAGTAACTGTCTCAAGCTACAGTTGAAGGCTTCAACCTTATTTTTGAAAGCATTTGCTTGCATCACAGTCCGTTACTGATTTTACAGCGACACACTGCATTAATGAGAAAAATCAAGGGGGGAGGAGCAAGACTGTGGCAGTAAATCGAGAGGGGGCAGCAAAATGTTCAGCCAGAATTAACTCTCACCGAGGAACACCAGAATGGTGCCAATCCACTGTATCGAAGTCATGACATTGCCAAACAGAATTACGGAGCCAAGGATGGTGAAGAACTTCCTTGTGGTGGTGACGATGGAACAAGTCAGAGGCCCAAAGTACACCACCGTCATAAAGATGAAGGTCTGGTAAAGGAATTATTTAAAAACATATTAAGGAATGGCATCTGCCAACATTGCCCATCATCTCATACCAGTATCCATCCACCCACCTGGCCTAAAGCGCTGGTCAGTCCAAACAGAAGAATATTGTAGATGATGCTCGGGTGGCGCTCAGTAAAACTCAGGAACTCCCATACCTCCCCTGTCCACAATATCGCTGAGAGCAGAGAGGAAGAAAACAACATTAATGTCATTTCAACAACAGCATGTCACATATAGTTGTCTCATCCTTGGCACTGATGTTCTGAGAAAATCAGATCATAGTGGTAATAGTGTGGGCATATGGCACCACCAAGTGGTGTAACACAGTAACAACAGTTAGATGAAGCCTTGGTGTGGGGGCGTCGATTTGTGGGAGTGAAGGCATAACAATACCTTAGTATCTTGGGAAATACCAGCACTTCAAAGCTATCGACTTCTTATAAAAGGTAGCAGGAGTGTCTTTGAGTATGTACAGACACTACAACTGAAGACCTCTGAAGGTATCTTATGCAGCATGAAACTGAATTTATCACTTTGAAAAATAAATATAGCTTTTTTAATGTAATATGGCCTATGATAGAGGGAGGCAGCAGTGCAGGAGAGATGAAAACTTACTAAGAGATAGCAGGCACTGCCAATTAGTTTGGTTATAAAAATGATAACAGTCTCTCCTTTCCAATACTGGCTTTGACCTTTTGATCTTTATCTTTCAGCCCATTACTGCCTAACCTTAGAAAGCCTCTCGTTATATTGTTTTATGTGCCTTACTCTTCAGCATATTGCGGCAACCTCCTCACTGAACTGACGGCTTTGAGGTGCAGCATTCCTTATCTATAAAGATAACACTGAAAAC